AAAAAATTTAAATATTAAAAAAATTAGTAAAAATCTTCGTAGGCAAATTTGCCTGTGTTACAATTTAAGGGATAGTAGATTTTAAATAACTATGTGACTTTGTACTTAACTTTTTCAAACAATGTGTTCCTAATTAACATATAATATTTGAGAAGATATCCAATGATTTTGAGCAAATATCACTTCAAAGGAAAGATCAGAGATGTATAACAATGGCTAATGAATTTGAATCAATATTGCTACAAGGAGAAGATCAGAATATTAACTTTAATAAAGTAGAGTATCACGTATATAAACTAATTATCTAGTTTTTCTGGTTTTTTTTTGCATTGAATTTTATCTAACTTAGAGATATTTGGATATACTTAGAATCATGTTTTTAATAATATCATGGAAGCTGAAAAGTTGTCTGTTGAATCAACATTGCTACAAGAAGAAGATCAGACTGTTAACTTTAATGAAGTAGAGCATCACATATGTAAACTAATTATCTAGTTCTTCTGGTTTTTTTCATTAAATTTTATCTAACTTAGGGATATTTGGATATACTTAGAATCATGTTTCTAATAATATCATAGAAGCTGAAAAGTCATCTGTTGAATCAACGTCACTACAAGAAGAAGATCAGATTGTTAACTTTAATGAAGTAGAGCATCGCGTATGTAAACTAATTATCTAGTTCTTCTGGTTTTTTTCATTAAATTTTATCTAACTTAGAGATATTTGGTTATATTTAGAATCATGTTTCTAATAATAGTATAGAATCCGAAAAATCGCCTGTTGAATCATCATTGCTACAAGGAGAAAATCAGACTGTTGACTTTATTAAAGTAGAGCATTATGTATGTAAAGTAATTATCTAATTTTTTTGTTTTTTTTCATTGAATTTTATTTAACTTAGAGATATTTGGTTATATTTAGAATCATGTTTCTAATAATATCATGGAAACTAAAAAGTCATCTGATTTTTTCGAAGCAATGTTGCTTAAAGAAGACAATTCATTTACTGATTTTGATAAGGCTGTGGATCATGTACGCAGATTTGTTAAGTACAAGGGTTTCAAAGTGCATCTTGGACATGTAATAGCTATTAATAAGGCTGACAATGAAAAGATTATCCGCAAAAGAACAATTGTTTGTAAGCATTCAGGTGTATATAAACCAAAGAATCCAGAGAAACCTGGCACTTCAGTTCAACAAAAGTGTCAGTGGCACATGAATTTCTTCCGTCCACAAGACAGTCTTGATGTTATTGTAACAACACTTAATAATAATCATAATCATGAATTATCACCAAAGGCTATACAGTTTGAGAAAAACAGACAATTCACTGCAGAAATGCTACAGGAAGTTGAGTTTCTCGTAACTAAATGTAATTTTGGTGTGACTATAATATGATCAGTGTTGTCACAATTTTTCTATTGCCCAATTAGATCTATATTCTAATCTATTGTTCTATTGTTCTATTGGTAAT